GCACATTACATAGCTTGATTTGAGTTATGATATACATTTATTTGCTTTTAACCATACACTGTTTAAATGGAGTGCAACATCAAGAAAGGTGTGCAAGGGTGGAGGCAGTTATATTCCTGGTTGGCATGGCCCAATTAAAGCTGTACCATGTGGCTGCCATGTTTGGAGGGGGGATTTTTGGGTTTAGTTTGTTTTACTTGTAGTAGTCTGTTAATTGGCGTCCATTTTTTGTTTTCCCCTTTGTGTGTTAATTGTTTGGCCAAGCCACTATATATGTTCCCTTGTGTCTCATTCAGTTTAGGTCAGTTTGTTGAGTTCATATTTTCTGTTTGTTGTATGCCTTGTTTTGAGTATAGTTATATTTTGTTGACCTCTTTATGGCCTATTGGTTAAATTCTTGGGTTTCTATTGTTTGATTATTTTTGGGTAAATAAACAAAAGACCCTATTTTTCAACAAACTTCCTGTTCTCGCCATTGCCTTGACTGTTTGGTCCCTGACAGGCGTGCTAGCAAACAATGTGCAAGATAGTTTACAACATACTCGTACATCTTAAATTGATTTGGTTTTAAAAAACAATAAACAATTAATTAAATCACAATGAAATGGGCTTGATAACGATGGGAGGTTTTTTTAAGTGTGATGGTATATTATATATAATATATATATAAAAATATGTATATGTATATGTTTAAAATCAATCCACACATTGTGGTGTAAACAGCCAAACCACACGGGAAATCAGTCATATCTTTTTCATAGCACCTTTAAAGGCTTCAAAACAAGTCCATTTTCATGTGCAAGTGAGGCTCGTTCTCAACCCAATATACCTTAAAAGGTTTTAGGGCCAAATAAAACGTTATATTTGGCTTTTAATTTGTTAAAAGAGACGTGTAGGAAGTCACAGAGGAAATTTTTCCACTCCGAGGAACACCAACCACATGGAAACAATCGACAAACTTCCTCCTAAAGAAGTGTGCACTTAATGAGACGCTGTGTAAAAAACCAAATCATTTAACCTTTTTGAGTACCTCAGACAAACAAAAATACATGACTACCTAAGAAAAATTAAAGAATCACACCTGAAGTGCTTGTGATGTATGTATGACTTTTTACTGTCCCTCTCAAGTATAAAACTTACATTCCAGTCATATGATACATGGCTCCTAACATCTTTTTGATAATACAGCAGAGGAAAACTTGATAGGAAAATGCATTACTACATACTTTTCAAAAAGACTGATCAAAACAATGCAAAGAAACCACAGATAAGCATAAAAAAACTAAACAATAACAATATAATAACTTGATTTAAAAGAGGAAAGAGTTTGCTGCCATAAGCTTGTCAGGCACATCAAAGTCTCCGTCACCGTTGTGTCTGTGAGTCTATATGTCGGAACAAAGGAAGACTGAGGATGTCCAGGAGCAAGGGGGAAAATATGTATATAAGTAGTTGAGATTACCACTCAGCTAATACAACCATTCAAAACATTAAGACGTCTACTTACTCCACTCCTTCCCAGTAACTTCTCATTCACTCCCCCATACTTAACCACCTTTGCGTGCACATTGGGCTGTGTATTGGCAAGAATCTGGATTATATACGTATCACCACTTGTCAGGGCAGGTCAGTAAAAAAATCTAATCTCAGGAATACTGTTATAGTTTAAAGACCACGTAGTAAAATAAAATGCAAACCAGAACAGGTGGGATCCTGTATTTGTAACATCCAATATCATAGTCTTTATGTTTACATTACAGCACTGCTATCTAGCAGCTTTAGGGCGTTTAAACACATGTTTTTGAGGCATCCATTACATTATCCCAATACTTTTTACATCTCTACTGTCATCCAAATTCATAGAAGGGCTATTTCATCAGTCAGAATAACCAATGTACATTACTTACAATATGACTGGAGGAATATTTCTTCCATGAAATTATTATTATTTATTTCATCTCTGCAGTAATGTATTAGGTGTAGCAGTTTCTGGAGTTCACAAATATCAGCCCATACTCCTCCTTCTGTTGGATGGACTATATTGGCACATATTCAGAATGCAATGACTCGGCTCTGGCTCAGAGGAAATGCCCCTGTCCTTAAAGAAAAGGCTGATTCAAACTCACTGAGATGGAGTAGATGAGGGCAGCGATTCCGAGCGGCAGGCAGCAGCACAGCATGGTGAAGATGGAGTAGCACATGTAGTCATTGACAGGGTTAACCAGCGGGCCTTGAGTCATGTACACCGTGGGCTGGACAGTGACGGTGGCCGGCTTTCCTGGGTACTCCTGATTTGCGGGGTACGGCTGCTGTCCATATCCTGCCCCCCCATACTGCGGCGGGATCCCGTAGCCCTGCAGGCCACACACATGAAATACAATTCAAACTCATTTTCAGGTCAAAGGAAACAGGTGTGATGTGAAAGCAGGTGGTTTTACAGGTTCAGGGGGTGGGGGGAGTACTGTAAATGGAAACTATGAGTGGGTGGGTCCCTATTATGAAATTACTGGATCAGATTTGGCAAAAACAGGTAGCTACTTGTCATTCATAAAAGAGAAAGAGGAAATGAAGGAGTTTAGGGTGTGGTTGTCAGGCTTCACCGTTAACATTTTAACCACTTAGGCACTAGGACGCTTGAATTGATTGTTGGGGCTTTTAGTGGCTCTGGTTTTTCCTGTCAGGCCATTATATCAAAGTGTTTTATTAATTTTAGAAACAGGGGGAAATGATTAGCCTCCATGTTAGATAATAGTATGAAAGCACAAATTGTGTTCAACAGACGATTAGTTCACACGTCTAATGAATTAATAAAGACCATAATTCATTTTCTATAATAATAATAAGCGCTTATCTGTCCAGAACAGTCTAATACTTAAGAATAATTCAAAAACCCTTCAAATACTAACATGTTACCGTCTGTAAGCCCAAAATTACGTAATATAGGACAGAAAAACGCAAACTACGGACGTCTATGGGAACAGTTGATAAAGGGATGTGACACACATGTGAAAATGCTTTAACATTTATTTTTTTCTGTGTTAGCTACAATATTCACACAAATTAAAAAACAACAACTTTGGAATAAACTTCTATTCAAGTGCACTGCCGTTACCCTGCTAGCAGTGTAATGAAATAAAACCTGTTATCTGTTATTAAATTATTCCATTGGCCTGTATCAGTGAGGTCCGGGGTTGGGGTTCTTACCTGCTGCGGTGGGTACGCCGGGCCGGCCTGAGGGTAGCCCGGGCCGGGTTGAGGGTAGCCCGGGTTGTCGTGGTAGGGCGGAGGTGGCATCTGGCCCATGGAGGACTTCTCTCCAGACCATTCTTGTGGAGGGGCGCTCCCAGAGCTAGGGTCCATAATGCAACAAATTGGTCTCTGAGCTTTTAAAAGACAAAAATGTCCCTTTTTGCCGCCGGGCTCACTTGTTTACTGTCTGAAGTGTTTAATGAAATACGCACTCTGCGGTCCAGTTGCCTATGATAGACCAAACAGCTTCTAGTGGGGCAGTTTGATCATATCACCAGTGTCAAGTGAGCCAGATTTATTACAAAAAATACTTCCGGTTATACCTTTCAAATTAAAAGCACAGAGCGAAAGTTTCTGAATATTCAACTGAGAACTGAGAACTGAAACTCCAATATGTCGCAATATGAGATTAATTGAGATGAGATAACCTTTCTGGTTTACTGACTGAGCATGGCAAAAGAAATATAATGCAAGCAATCTAATAAATAGATTCTAAGTATGAGGGAAATAATAAATAAGCATGTTTTTTTTCCTAAATGTAATTGCAACAGAAAGAAAAAAATATGACAGATGACTAAAAGTCATTTGGAAGTTAAGTAATTTAACCTTTTAGGCAACAAGCTCTAGACAACCTGTGTTCAGTGGTGGGAGAGTTACTCAGCTCTTTTGCTTAAGTAAAATTACTACTATAGTGTAGAAAGTCCATCTACTGCATTCAAAACTTTGCTTGAGTAAAATTAGGTAAATTACCAGAAGTAAAAGTACTCACTATGCAGAATGGCCAATTTCAGAATAATACACATTATATTATTGGATTAAAGAGAGAGGGAGCTTATTTAAGCTTTTGAATCAATAAATCAGGAAAGACGTTACATTATATAGACTACTTTATCTACAATAAAACTTCAGAATGTATTTGTTGAATTTGTCTTGTAATATTTGCTTGAATCTTAAAGTAAGTAGTAACTAAAACTATCAAATAAATGTAGTGAGTAAAAAGTACAATATTTCCCTTTGAAATGTAGTAGCAGAAAATGGAAACACTGAAGTACAAGTACAAGTACCTCAAAGCTGTAGGCTACTTGTGTAAAAGTATTAATTATCTGATTAGTCACATCGACAGTCACTAAAGAAACATTTAAATAAATGTACTTTCTGGTCTACCAACCCCCAAACTGCTGGTCACATTCACATACACATTCATACACTGATGGCATAGGTGGTAAGAAGGCCTATTCGGCCTCAACCAACCTATTGTTTGTTTGCCTTTCCGGCGATATTTGTAGAGATGGGAGGAAACCTTTTTACCCATATAGCTAATTTGGTTTATTAGAGGAAACAGCTGAAAAAGAACTTTTAGAAACTTGCTTGAAGAAACTTTAAAGCCCACTCACAGTAAAAAGGAGAATATTTCCAGACCCAAAAAAAAGGAGAGATTTTCAGGCAAGACGGTAGCAATATTTTTTTTTCACAGGTTCCTTTCCTTTTTTAATAACGGGGTTTTTCAAAAAAAAAACTTCTAAAACCGTTTCCTTAACCCACCTCCCAAAAAAATTGCATTGTTTACAAATTTTTTGGTAGTAGCGGGCCCTCCCTTTGCATGGGAAAACACCTTACATCTTTTTTTTCATCTCTCAAAACTCCACATTCCTGGTTTGTAATGCATTTTTTATCTTCTTTAACAATCTTTTGTAGTTTTTTGAAGAAACCTTTTTTTCAAAGTTCAGATGCGGAATTGATATTGCTTTTTCCTGGAAAAAAAACCAAGTTATTTGCAAATTTAACAGCTTTTGATGCACACAAATAACCACAGGTGAATAATTATGGAAAAAATTACTTTGTGTTGGGTTGTTGTTACGCAAAAGATATGTAAAGGCAGGCCGGCCCACATGGAACCACACTGGCCAACCTGATCGGGCCAATTTTTTCCAACCTTTTGGCAATTGGGCTCTTCTTCTCTTCTTTCTCTCTTCTTCTCTTTCTCCTCTCTTCTTCTTTCTCTCTCTCTCTGTGTGAGTGTGTTTCCATTTCTTCACCCTTCCATTTTCTTCCCAACATACACTTTTTTAAATGGGTTTTTTACATTGCTTGATACAAATGTTGAACATAAAAAGCCGCAATTTTTACGACAATGACACAAACAGATTGTGTTTGTTTGCGTTTGGGACATTCTTGGCCACCATGATAAACATTAAGCCTTATACAACCATATTTAAAGGTTTAAAAAAAATAAAACATACTTTCTTGAATTAAGTTTTTATAATTTGGACTACCAAAATGAAAAATAAATATTGATTTTCCTGCAAACAAAGCCTTTTTCCACTACCAACCATTTTGAAAAAAAAGTTAATAATGTGGAATTTAAATGAAGAAAAAGGTGATTTCTTGGGCTGTAGATTCATGGTGTTATTAAATATAATTAAATTAATTATAAAGTTTATGAAAACAAAAAAAACAAACCCAGTTATGAATGGGGTACCTATGGTTTTCTTTTTAACTTGGAAATTTGAAATTGTTATCTAAAAACAACTTAATAACGTTTTTAAAACAAGACATTTAAGTTTTGTATAAACCCAGCGTTTAATATGAAAACTGATCACATTTTCAAAAAGGAAAAGCTTTTAAACCCATCTGGAAATATTTACAAGAAAACTGGAAACCGTTCCTCGCGTGTCTTGTCTTGGTCTTGGTCTTGTCTTTGCACGTCGTTCCCTGCGACTTCGCTTAAGAGTTTCAAACCGAAAAAAAAACAGCCCAAAACAAACTGGAAACCTTCTTGGGCATGAGAAAAAAACACAAACCAGGAAGGCAGCCAGCGGATTTGAACCAAATTTCCAACGGACAGCGTTTTTGGGTTTTATTGTTTTAGAGACCAGTGACCAGCAAAGGAGTTAGTTCTGTGTGTTACCCGCCTTCGTGAGCTTTTTGCATGCTTTCCTTTGCCTGATAACTTGAAGGCTACCTGAAATTTTTTCTCATACAAAACAACCCTCAGACACACATCCTTCATTTTAACACCCGCAAATCCAATGTCTTTGTCACTTTCATTTTCCAAATCAATTGGAACTTTTTTGGGTATTTTTAGAAGTTTGAAAAGGCTTTTACATGGAAGAAAAAAACCTTTTTGGAGAAAAATTCCTTTCTGTAAAATTCTTTTGCATTCCGGCCCGGTTGATGGTTTGGTCTTTGAGTTGGTTGAAAGGTTGAAAATGACTTTGCAACCCCAAAAACAACGGTTAAACACAAAAAACCTATAACCAAAAAAAAAACTTTCCCTTACGTCGTTTTTCACATTACTGGAGGTTGTTTTTCCAAATTGCTTCTCGCCCCACTTACTTCTTGCCTGTCTTGTAACTGTTATTGTAAGGGGTTCAAAAACGTTGATGCGTAGATATTAGTCCGCTTAGTGTGAACCACCTAAAAAAAAACCCACTGTCCATTGGCTTTTCATGTCAAGTATTATGGGAAATGCCGCGCAATTACTAGTTCAAAGAGTTTTTAAGAGTGGGTTGCATAAACTTTCATGATTTAAATTCTGTTCAAAACTTTCCCGTGTTAGCTTTATGGGGATGGCCAAAAAGTAGTGGATGTTTGCCAAGCTGTTTTCATGAGATTTACAGAAAGAGACTCTTGGTTCATGTTTCTATTAAAAAAAGCATTTTATTGGAAAACAAAACAACTTGGAGATAATGGGAACTTATTTGTGTGTTGGGTGTGTTGTGCGTTATTTCTTAACCTTCATTTTCCCAAAACCTTTTCCTTTTAAAAGGGCGAATCCCCTTTCTATTTCATTGACTAAAACTTGAACAACCCCAAAAACTAAAATACCATATTTATGGACATTTTTATATTTTCAAATGCATTACCAATCTATTTTACACCAGTAAAAACGTGGATTGTAAATAAAACTGTAAGAGTTTTGTGTTGAGGCATTTAAACCCAATTTTGGGTTTGATTTTGAGATTAAATTTTTCCTTGGTGGATTATTCATCAGAAGATTTACGTTTTCCTGATATTTTTAGGGGGACAACTCTTTGTAGAGTTCTTTTCCTGTTATTATGTCTTTTTTAAAATTTTTAAAATACTTAATAGGCTAATTCTTTTGAACAAATTCAGTGGTTTTTTTCTTCTCCCTTGATGTTTGGTTCTTAGCTCTTTTGGTTGTTACAACGCCCATTTAACTTTAATTTTTTTTACTTGAAAAGGGGCGATGGCAGACCCCTAGTGGCGGGCCCCGAACCCAACCAAAGAATTGGAAAACCCACTGCCTTGAGTATTTTGCTTTACCCCTTTGCATTTTTTCACAGCCCAAACATTAATAGAAAAAATTGATTTTGTGACAAAATAGGAGCAATTGAAATCCTGATATTTGTTTAAGTAGTTCAAACTGTTAAGATGGTTATTTAACTATAATTCTAGTTTCAATTCATCGCACATGGGGGGCTAATTTGATTAACCTTTTTTTAAATTTCAAAGGCCCCTCTTGCATTTTAAAGTGAACATCAACATTGAACATTATTTCACCCACACGCAAGCTTTTCACTTTCAAACTGGATGGAAACAATGACATTAAGTCAGTTCATTGGTTTCCAACCTCGCACTGTTCTCCAGCTGAATTCCAAAATGAACTTGTTTCTTTTTTTAGTTTTTAAAAACTTCTTGGCAAACTATTTTAATATTAGTGTTAGCAATTAGGGAACAAACCCCTTGTCTAAAAACAAAAATAACCAGAAGAAGTTAAAAAAAACTCACTGGCACCCGCCCCCACCACAAGCTATTTCGAGTTTTATTAAAAGCTGATTAGACCTCAGTTCCCTTGGTTAATTTGAAAGTGGGTGGAAAGCCCATTTGGCTGGAGAATATGTGATGGTCCAAAACTTAAATATTTTATTAGACTGGACAAAAACGACTTGGAAACCAGGAACATTGGCTGCCGGGAAGGGCGAAAATTAATTAAACATTAAACCTTGTCTGTAGCGAAGAGCGCTGTGCACCTAATAACTTTTTATTTCTTCTTTGACAAAGCGTTTTTAAAAAACCAGGGCCAAACAATGAATGTAAAAAACACAACTGTGTGAGCAAAAATAACCATTATTTTCATTTTTGGTGCTGTTAAAAGTTGGGAAAACTTAATATTGCCTTTTTTTCAAGTCCAAAAGTTAATTTTGAACTTGTTAAAACAAAAATTTAACAAAAAGTAAAAAACTTCAAAAAAAAAACATCTGGAATTGGGTGCCACAACACCAAAACACACCCACTGACGTAGTATGGCAAAAGCCCCAATAGTGCCATGCGGCCCTTCAACTGTTCAAAAACAAGTGGTGGGGACTCTGGCGCTGTCTGGCAGGCAAGGATGAAGAGGGAGGGGGCAAAACTTTCCTTTTTTTATGTAAATCCGGTTTGCAAAAGCCATTAAGGTGCTTTCTTTGGCCTTTTTGAAAAAATCCACCCACCACAAATGAAAATAAACTTCAGGAAAAATAAAAAAAAAACAACAATTATAAACAATATTTACATTGTAATCGAAACAAGTTGTATTGCTTTTATCCCATTTGGGGAAACAACTGGTTTAAAACACCTTTTTGGTAGAAGCCTATTCGCTTTTCAACCAAACCTATGTTTTGCCTTGCTCCTGGGATATTGTATGATTGGAGGCAACCCTTTAAACCATATAGCTTATTGTTTTTATTAAGGAAGGAGCTGAAGAACCTTTTTTAGATTTGCTTTTGAAAAAAAAACTAAGCCACTTTTACAGTTTAAAACGAGATATTCCAGAACCCCAAAAAAGAGAGAAAAAGAATTTTTGCAGGCAAGAGGGTAGAGAATCATCAACACAGTTTTTTTTCCGTAATTACGGGTTTTCAAAACTTTCTAAAAACCGTCCTTACACCTCCCAAAAAAATTGCATGTAACATTTTGTAGTAGCCCTCCCCTTGCCATGGGAAACAACCTAACATCTTTCAATTCTCTTCAAAAACCTTCCACCATTCCTGGTTTTTGTAAATGCATTTTTATCTCTAATTTTAAAATTTGTAAGTTTGAGAAACCTCAAGTTTCAGGATGGAATTGATGATGCCTCCTCAAAAAACCAAGTTAGTTTTGGATTTTACACAGCGTTTTGATGTTACCACCCCAAAATACAAAACAGGTGACAATATGGCAAAAAATACTTTGTTGCTGTGGTGTTGTGTACCCAACAGCGTACCTGTTAAGCGCAGGGCCCACAGGGACAAAAAACCCAACTTGCACTGATTTCTGGCAAATTTTTCCACCTTGCCATGGGCTCTTTTTTCTCTCTCTCTCTCTCTTCTTCCTCGTCTCCTCTTCCTGTCTTTCTCCTTCTTTCTTCTTCTCTGTCTCTTTTCACTTCTCTTCTCTTCTTTCTCTTCTCCTCTCTTCTCTTCTTTCTCTGTAAAAAACAAAATTACCAATAAAAACCAAAGCTTAAACCCAAGAACAAAAAAAAACACTTGAAATGGCGTTGCCCATTGAAAAACAAGTACAAGCTACAAAACAAATAAAAAACAATAATATTGGAATATTATCCTATAAACACTACATTGCCAGTTGACTTCACACTTTGGGCTGCTTCAGTGTGTCCATATAAACATGCCCTTCAGCTGTCTTGCCTCCTCAGGAGCCATTTGGCTCCATCTAGTGGACAGCCTCATAGTTTGTGATTTTCATTCCTCGCTATCCCAAAACCTGCAGTCCCAGCCTCCAACAATGTTGCGTTCATTTTGGTTTCTCCGCCACCCGGGGATGTGTATATGCAGAGAAGTATTGCATACACAGAGATGAAGAGGCCAGTAAACACAGTAGTGCAGTGCCATGGCGTTGTTTAGGAGGAGCATGATTGATCTGGCTGTTTGCTCTGTAGAGGAAGCTTAGCCTCTTTACTTACACGGTTAACAGTTAACAGTTCAAGACTGCTATTATTTGTTTATCGGTTTACGTCGTTACCTGTTAGATGGTAAGCTTGAATGTTAATCCTCATCGCCTCCATCAGTCCCTCCCTCCTCCATTTATTGCGCATACTGCTAATAAAGGCGACAAGGAGCCAATCGAAGCCAGGCCCATGGGACCAGGCAAATAAGACGAATTCCCCTATGTACAACAATAAAAGCCTAAAATAGTTTGACTCCCCTTTACAGATAAATCTATTTGATATATATAATACACCCCAAGAGGGGTTTGTATATGTAAAATATTGGAAGCTCCCCTTTACAGGATAAACATATATATATATATATCATCAGGGTATACCGCTATACGTACTATGGTGACTATATTATATATTATAAGTATATATATATATTACTATATAGCT